GGAAGCGATCTTAACTTCCCTCAGAGCTTGGAAGAAAAGCCCGGGGTCTACCCAGAAAGGGCCAGAGCCCCACCTTACGGATCAGGCACAGGGAGTTATATTACAGCTCTTGCTGTCCTATCCAGATTTGTGTTCCTCCTGGACCGAGGACTGGACATCTACGTGTGGCGGGGGGCCCAGGCCACACTGAGCAACACCACCAAGGCCAGGTAGGTGGGTCTTATGGAATGTTCTAGGCAAAGGAAGGTACCCTAAGAACAACATGGCCTTGCTGAGGGCTTTGCATCTGTCCACAGGCTCTTTGCAGAGAAAATTAACAAGAATGAACGGAAAGGGAAAGCCGAGATCACACTCCTGGTGCAGGGCCAAGAGCCCCCAGAGTTCTGGGAGGTGCTGGGTGGGGAGCCCTCTGAGATCAAGAAGCATGTGCCTGATGACTTTTGGCCACCCCAACCCAAGCTATACAAGGTGAGTCACGGTGCTGGGGTACAGAGTAAGCCTGACTGCTATGGGCTTTGGGAAGAGGGCATTCTTCTGGACAAGGAGCTCAGTCTGGAAGCCAGCTTTGAGGATGGAGCTGGCACCCTCTTCTCGAAGGTGGGCCAGAAGCTCCTGGGTACCAGAGCTGAGAATTGGGCCTTAGTTTTGTGAGTGGTAGGAGACTACGGTTCTTTTTTCTTTCTTTCTATTATCAGCTTGATACAGTATAAATTCTTATCCTAATAGTGAAATGTTTCATTGAGGCTTGCCCAGTAATTGAGTAAACCCAAAACTTATTATAAGCCACAGTCATCCTAGGGTCCCCCCTGGTATGTAGCCTCCCTGGTTCTGTGGGTTGCAGAGACTATGGTTCTTATGAGCAGGAAAGAGACAAGTTAAGAAATCAGAAACAGCCGGGTAGCAGCGGCACATGCCTTTAATCCCAGCACTAGGGAGGCATAGCCAGGTGGATCTCTGAGTTCAAGGCCAGCCTGGTCTACAGAGCGAGATCCAGGATAGGCACCAAACTACACAGAGAAACCCTGTCTCGAAAAACCAAAAAAAGAAAAGAAATCAGGAACAACAGTAAGGACCCAGATTGGGCAAGCAAGGAAAACAAGTATTTAAAAGCCCTTCCAGCTAGGTAGATAGTGGTGGCGCACACCTTTAATCCCAGCTCTTGGGAGGCAGAGGTAGGCAGATCTCTCTGAGTTCAAGGCTAGCCTGGTCTGCAAATCCAGTTCCAGGACAGCTGGGGATACACAGAGAAACCCTGTCTCAAAAAGACAAAAACCTAACAAGCAATTCCAGGACTGCAGAGCTGGCCTAGTGGATAAGAGCACTTTTCTTCCAAAGGATCTGGATCCAAGTCCCAGGACCCACATGGCAGCTCTGGTTACAGAATCCAACACTGCCTTCTGGCTTCCCTCCATAAGCACCAAGGATACATGTGATGCACATATGTACACACAGGCAAAACATGCCTACTTAAAAATAGTAATTAAAAAGTTAAAGCCTTCCACTGGTTTGCAGTGGGACTCTGTAATAGAGCATTTGCCTGGTGTGGGCAAACCCCTGGTACTGCTCCTTATACTAGAAAAAAGCCCAGCAAACCCTAGATCCTTTCGCTGGTAGGAAGTCCTTAAAATGTGGTTCAGTTTGGAGGGAAACAGGTCCAAATAGCAAGGTGGGGAGCCAGGCCCCAATTCAGGGCAAATGTGGGGTCTACCATACCCATCTCTTTTTCCTGCCAGGTGGGCCTAGGCCTGGGCTACCTGGAGCTTCCCCAGATCAACTACAAGCTCTCAGTGGAACACAGGAAACGGCCCAAGGTGGAATTGATGCCAGGAATGAGACTGGTAAGGAGGCAGGAGGTGGGCCTGGGTCAGTGAGGCTGGTGAGGGGGCAGGAGGTGGGCCTGGGTCAGTGAGGCTGGTGAGGAGGCAGGAGGTGGGCCTGGGTCCGTGAGGCTGGTGAGGGGGCAGGAGGTGGGCCTGGGTCAGTGAGGCTGGTGAGGAGGCAGGAGGTGGGCCTGGGTCAGTGAGGATGGTGAGGAGGCAGGAGGTGGGCCTGGGTCAGTAAGGCTGGTGAGGGGGCAGGAGGTGGGCCTGGTCCAGTCTGTGTGTGGGCCGGGTGCTGACCTCTCGCCTCTGTCTACAGCTGCAGAGCCTTCTAGACACACGGTGCGTGTACATCCTGGACTGCTGGTCTGACGTCTTCATCTGGCTTGGCCGCAAGTCCCCACGACTAGTGCGTGCTGCTGCGCTGAAACTGGGCCAGGAGCTGTGTGGGATGCTGCACCGGCCGCGCCATGCAGTGGTCAGCCGCAGCCTGGAGGGCACCGAGGCTCAGGTATGTCCCCGCGCCCACAGTGGCTTGCCTTCCACTGCCCGCCATGCTCTCCCCCCTCTGCTGGCACAGCTGTGCTGCAGAGGTGGGCCCGAGTCCACCGTACCTTCGCAGGACCGTCCACTCTGTCGCCTGTCCCCACTTCTTTTTGCTAAGCTCCACCTTTCCAAGTCACCTCCAGCTCCTGTTTGGACCCACCCTTGAGCTCTGACCAGCTTTCCCAAACCTCGATTGAATCCTCCAGCCCCCCCCCAACTGGGCAGTGCCTCTCTCCAGTTACGGTGGGTGTTACGCTGCTCTCCACAGGTGTTCAAGGCCAAGTTCAAAAACTGGGACGACGTGTTGACTGTCGACTACACTCGGAATGCCGAGGCCGTGCTGCAGGGCCAGGGGCTCTCTGGGAAGGTGAAGCGTGACACCGAGAAGAAAGACCAGATGAAGGCTGACCTCACCGCGCTCTTCCTACCTCGGCAGCCGCCGATGGCACTGGCTGAGGTGGGGTGAAGCCTGGGGGGGGGGTGAGAGGTGGGGGGCGCTGCACAGCACGATGCTCAGACCTCACTTGGGGACGGGATGACAGGCAGAGCAGCTGATGGAGGAATGGAATGAGGACCTGGACGGCATGGAAGGCTTCGTGCTGGAAGGCAGGAAGTTCACTCGGCTGCCGGAAGAGGAGTTTGGCCACTTCTACACACAGGACTGCTATGTCTTCCTCTGCAGGTGCCACAGAACTTCTTCACCCTCTGTCCTCGGCCCTGTGCCGCCCCTGCTCACCACTGTCTCATTCACAGGTACTGGGTCCCTGTGGAGTATGAGGAGGAAGAGAAGACGGAAGACAAGGAGGGGAAGGCAGAGGGCACGGAAGGGGAGGAAGCAGTGGCTGAGGCAGAGGAGAAGCAGCCGGAGGAGGATTTCCAGTGCATCGTGTACTTCTGGCAGGGCCGGGAGGCCTCCAACATGGGCTGGCTCACTTTCACCTTCAGCCTTCAGAAGAAGTTTGAGAGTCTATTCCCTGGCAAGCTGGAGGTGTGCCCCACAGCCTGTGGTTGGGATGGTAGAGGGAGCAAACCAGACCTGAGGAGTCCTGACCCTTGAAGAGCAGGTAGGGTCTAGGGAACTACCCAGAACTCCCTTCTGATCCCCAGGTGGTACGTATGACACAGCAGCAGGAGAACCCCAAGTTCCTGTCCCATTTCAAAAGGAAGTTCATCATCCACCGGGGCAAGAGGAAGATGGCTCAGGGCACTCCCCAGCCGAGCCTCTACCAGATCCGCACCAATGGCAGCGCCCTCTGCACTCGGTGGGTACCTGGCTTGGGGAGAGGGCAGGATTCCATGGTGGGGGTAACACTGCTGATCTGCCCCACCCCCTCCCCCTAGGTGCATCCAGATCAACACCGACTCCAGCCTTCTCAACTCGGAGTTCTGCTTCATCCTTAAGGTGAGGCTGTGGGCAGGATGGCAGAGCAGGGTGGTGGGCAAGACTCTAGACCTGAGCCAAGCCCCCTGTGCACACCACAGGTCCCCTTTGAAAGTGAGGACAACCAAGGTATTGTGTATGCCTGGGTGGGCCGGGCCTCAGACCCTGACGAAGCCAAGCTGGCAGAAGACATCCTCAACACCATGTTTGACGCTTCCTACAGCAAACAGGTGACAGAGGTGGGGGCAGGCAGGAAGGTGGGAGCCCGTGAGGGCCCTGGCTGACCCTCCCTCCCCACAGGTCATCAACGAAGGCGAGGAGCCAGAGAACTTCTTCTGGGTAGGCATTGGTGCCCAGAAACCCTATGATGATGACGCAGAGTACATGAAGCACACGAGACTCTTCAGGTGAGTGCCCGGAGCCCTCCTCTGGCTATCTTAGTTCAGACCCTCACCTTCACCTTGACCCTTGCCCTTCAGGTGCTCCAATGAGAAGGGCTACTTCGCAGTGACTGAGAAATGCTCTGACTTTTGCCAAGATGACCTGGCAGATGATGACATCATGTTGCTAGACAATGGCCAGGAGGTAAGTCAGTCCCCCACCTCAGACCCTGCCGCCTGCTAGATAGTTGTAGATGGAAATAGTGGGGCCAGAAGGGAAGCGTTCCCACCAGCCACATGTGGAGCACTTGAGTAGCATATACACAGGCCCTGGGTTCAATGTCTAGCACTACAAAACACCAAAAGGGACAAGACATCCATGTGACCATTTCCTCCACCTTATCCTCAGGTCTACATGTGGGTTGGGACCCAGACAAGTCAAGTGGAGATCAAACTGAGTCTCAAGGCTTGCCAGGTAAGAAAGGGTCATACTAAGACCAGCCTGATGACTTCAGGGACCACCTGCCCCTCCGTCATCCTGGGCAAAGCATGGGAAGGGGCACTGGGCAGTCCGGCAGGACTCGGAGGACTACCCATGCCCACTGTCTTCCTTACCAGGTGTACATCCAGCACACACGCTCTAAAGAAAACGAGCGGCCCCGCCGCCTGCGCCTGGTCCGCAAAGGCAATGAGCAGCGGCCCTTCACCCGCTGCTTCCACGCCTGGAGCACCTTCCGCCAAGCCCCAGCCTAGGCGGTACCTACGACCTCAGACTCAGCGAGGAAGCAGACTCAGCACCTGCTTCGGCTACCCACCCACCGTCTTGCCCACATCCTCCAAGCCCCACCAGTGTGTCCACATGTGTGCAGCAGATGCAGTTTAAAAGATATTAAATGCTTTTATTTTCAATATTAAAAAATCAGTACTTTTAATATTAAAACTAGTTTTTAAAAAAAGACAGAAAAGCCCAAGGTGGAGTCTACAGGGAAGCCCATCCTCACCGCCCCACACACATGCACACACCCGCCTGACTCCAGTTACAGTGCCTAGCAGTTTCCAGTCACGTGAGCATACACACACAGGTCAGGAGCAAGTACCAAAACTGCTTTAGAAATGACTGGCCGGCGCAGTCCAGGCGTTAGAAAAATACTCTGCTTGAGGAGAAAGAAGAGACATTATGGAGTACAAGACAGAGGATCCTAGCACACGCCTCCAACTGCCCTTCAAACTGGGGGCGTCTTCAGGGCCCAGCATCAGTACGATGATCCCACAGGTTAGCAGGTGTGGGTTCAAAGTTAAGGAGCTAGGCAAGGCAGACAGTGGGCTGCGATAAGCAGATGGTGGTGGCTGGGGGGAACAAACCCAGGCTCTTTCAGTGATGGCCTGAGATGGGCTTGCGAGGGATCTAGGAGGGTACCAAGTAGAAGAGTGTGGGTAGTATCTATGCTCAATGTAGGGTGGGTGCAGAGGCACTAGCTACCAAGGTCCAGATAGCTCCAGGCTCCAGCTAGGTTGGGTCCATAGCAGGATATGGTAGGCACATAAGCTCCATGTGCTGGCTCAACAGGCAGGACCTATCAGCCTCAGTGACTGTCCTGTGAAATGGGCTCACTAAACAGATGAGCCTCAGTTCCTACACCCAGTCAGAGGTGGCCTTCTAAATGCCCAGGACCTCAAGGCTGACAGGACATCCCCTTTCTAGCACTGAACTGTGATGATCGTGACTGTGGGTCCCCTAGGCCTCTGACAGCTGGGGGAAGGCAGCTAGGCTTCCAGGAGTGACACCATCACAGAGGCCTGCCAGGGTCCCAGCTGGGGCAAGGGACAGCAGCTGCTGCGTGGTAAGGCTCGGCTGCCTCACAGCACCTCATTTAACCAGAAGGGTGTAGGCCCGGGCCTCGTCTGCTTCCAGGTTCCGAAGGTTCTTCTCCGAGTCCTCAGGAGAGCTGGGGAGGGGCAGTAATCAGAAGGGCCGGGGTGGGAAGACCCCTAGTTGCCCTGGGGATGGAGGCTGGGGAAGAGCAGCGGCCTCACCCCAGGAAATCCTTCACATATTCCGCTGTGACGTCCCCTGTGGTGTCCAGCGTGGTATCCCCACTCGTTGCCGAGTCAACGGACACAGGTGAGAGCGTGGTCTCGGGGGGCTCTGCGGTGTCTGCAGGGAGAAGTGCCCCTCAGTACCCACTCTGCACCCAGAGCCTGGCCCCCAGCGGGACATGCATGTGCACACACAGACGCTCCGCCTTCGGCTGGCCGCTTCCAGCCCTGGCTCAGCAGCACTGAGCTTACGTCTTGACCTCTCCCCAAGGTACCCTCAAGCCAATGTCTGCCCCAACCCTGTGACCTCTCACCGGCTCGCTTGCTGTGGGCAGAGTTAGGGCTTCCTTCACAGCTCTCTGGGGCCAGGGCGATGTTTCGGGTGCCATTAGCCTGGCTCAGCTTGGGTGAGTCTTGAAGACTACAGAAACAGATGGGGTGTCATGGGGACCAGTCAAGGTGCCGCCTCCCATCCCCAAACCAGGACAGGCAGTAACACCAGGGGGTGCAGAACCCACGGTGGACGGGGCCCACTCCCCCACACCTGGGCTGGGGGGCGTTTCGGGGCCAGCTGATATCCAGAGAGCAGAGTGGCTCCGTGATATTGCGAGCACTCAGGGAGAAGCGCTCAAATTCCGACGGAGAGATCAAGTAGAAGCCTGTGAGCAGGAGACAAGAGCACGTGAGGAAGACTGATCCTTGCCCAGCCTCGGCCGCCACCCCCTCCACTCCTAAGCACAGCCGGCGCTTTCTGCTCTACCCGGCATCTGCTCCCAACCACCTGCCCCACCTCACCCTGACCATGGCGTGTGAAGACACAGGAAGCGATGCCACTGATGTCCTCCTTCCGGATACAGGAGTAGTGCACCTGAGGCCTCAGGCCAGGCACAGAAAAGACGTGGACGTCACCCAAGTTGGTGAGGCAGGCGAGGCAGGTCTCAGCGTAGTCCTCAGACATCACACTGGCAAACGTGGCCAGGGCGACCTTGCGCACACGACAGCCTTCGTGGGCCGTCAGCTTGAACTTGGTCTTAGCGCTCACCTTGGGCAGTGTGAACACCTGGCGACAGGCAGTCTGCGTTAGCCCGCCTTGGCCTACCCACGCCTCACTCAGCTGCAGACCCCAAGCGTGCATGTCAAAATGACACCCACTGAACCAGCCATCCCCTCAGCCCAGGCTTCAGGGCGTGCCTCATCTCTACCCACGGCCGATGAACTAGACATAGTCCTATGTTCTATGCCTGGAACCCCTTCAGGCCGTAAGTCCCTGGGGACTGGGTTCAAGGGGTTCGCACGGGGCTCTTGGAGAAGGCTATGAGGTAGAAGGCCTTAGGGGGTCCTGGCAGGCCTAGGGTGCTCCCAGGTCCTTCAAGGGCCTCTATTGGCTGAAGGCTTTGATGGAATAGGAGGCATTAAGTCTCAGCAGGTAGGGAAATGGGCGAAGCAGAGGTTCGAAAGGGTCCAAGACGGGGCCTGGATGGATCTCCGTCACCCACGGATGCTCACCTTGAACTGCTCCTCAGATGCTATGAGCACAGCGTGCCCACCCTGCATGTCGGGGGCCTGTGCCAGGTCCCGGGAAGCCTCATAGGGCTCAGGCAGTGGACGGCCACGACCGTCCAACACAGCAATGGCCACGACAGGTGCCCGGTGCATGAGCTGTACCTCCTTGCCCAGCACCGCCTCCACTGCCTGCTCGGGCCGCTTTTCACCACCTGCTGCGGCTGCTGGAACCTCTAGCGCGTAGGCAAATACGGAGCCCGAGTTGGTCCCTGCCCACATGGTGGGCCCATGGTGGGTTGCTGTGGAAGACAGGTACAGTGAGGAGGGCCTCCTGAGGAACCCCATGCCTCACAGACCCTTCTCTCACCTGTCCATTTCCTAACTGGTTTGCAGGGATCGGATCTCAGGAATTTGTGATCACTCCTACCTCACACCTGCTGTGTGGTCTCAACCCGCTAGTCTGAGACACCAGAACAGCTCTGATGCAAAGGCATAAGCCACCTTGAGGACATCTGCAAGACCACAAACTGGTCCCTGATACCACCAACCCATCAACCTGCACCCTCAACTCATCCCAGTAAATGTAGCTCCCCCCTGCAAGCTGGGCATGGCAGCACACTCCTAAATCCCAGCACTCAGGAGGCAGAGACAGAGCTCTGTGAGTTGAGGCCAGTGTAATCTACATAGCATGTTCCAGGCAGCCAGGACTATGTGGTGAGACCCTGTCTAAAAAGCAAGGAACAAACAAAAACAAAGATACAAGAGTAACATGTGGGGCTGGAGAGATGCCTCAGGGGCTTAGAGCACTGGCTGCTCTTCCAGAGGTCCTGAGTTCAACTCCCAGCAGCCACATCATGGCTCACAACCATCTATAATGAGATCTGGTGCCCTCTTCTGGCATGCAGGCATACATGCAAGGCAGAACATTATATACATAACAAATAAATAAATAATATCTTTAAAAAAAAAAAAAAGAGTAAGTGTGAGCCGGGCATGGTGGCACACATCTTTAATCCCTGCACTAGGAAAGCAGAGGCAGATGAATCTCCATGAGTTCAAGGCCAGCCTGGTCTACAGAGTGAGTTCTAGGACAGCCAAGACTATTAAATAGAGAAACCCTGTCTTGGAGCGGAAAGAAAAAAAAAAAAAAAGAGAGAGCGCAAAGTGTGGTGTAGAGAGGGCACACACAGCAGCAGGTACCCGGGGGTGGCAGCTGCAGTATGTGGGTGACTGTACACTATTTCTCTGTTCCAAACTACCATTATACAATGTAAAAACCGAAAGAGCCACCAACAAGCCTAAGGCACAGAGGGGACTTTTTACCAGAGTCGATGACGAGTCCCTGCCTGACCTGCCCACCACAGGGCCTCGGCCACCCCGGCCCTCACTGCCCACCTCACCACGGCTCCCTTGCTTCCTGCTCTACTCTACAAGGCTTGTGCAGCCCACTCAGCAAACCCTCCAAGTATGCCCCTTTGGGCTATACGGTGGCCCAGGCCTCCCAAGGTAGAGCTCAGCACACAGTAGGTGCTCAGAACGCCACTTCCCCCCAGTAAAAGGCCATCTAGGCTCTCCAATGCCCGTCCCTACCCTGGTCTCACCATCTCGAAGGAATGTGTCGGCAAAGTAGAGGCAGCGCACGACACCGGAAAGGGAGTCGTCAGCAGACCGCGGCTCGATGCGGCGCTGCACGGGTGTCATCTCCACGTCGTGGGGGCAGGGCTGCTCCGCCAGCTGTGCGTTGGCTTCCTGCAACTGGGAGGGCCACAGGATCTTAGAGGTGCTCTCTCAAGAGCCCTTTCCGCCCAGTACCCAGCAGGCATCGCTGTCCAAGCATCTGCTTCCCAGTTAACTACCGGGGAGCATGGCAACCCGGCAAACCCGAGCGAGGGCTCTGGGCCAGGGCACGGGCACGGCAGCCGGTCCCAGCTCACCTTGCTACTGGCAGTAGTAGGCCGTTTTTTGCCTGAGACACGGCTCTTGCGGATACGCCGGAATGACTGCCGCAGTGACTTCTTGAGGGATTTCACCCGAGAGAGCGGCCCCTCCATGGCCAAAGAGTCATTGGGGTGGAGGGTACACCTGGGGATGACAGGGCCAGCGTGCTATGGAGCTACACGGCACTCCTGCTACCCTGAAGCCGGCTACCAGAGCCCAGGTCAGGGAACCAGAGCAACTTGGGGCCAGGACCTACGGCCCCAGCAGCTGGAGGGGCTGACCAGTTGTCTCGCAGATGAAAGGAGATTATAAGAGCTTTCCCAACCAGCCTGCCTAGGCCATACCAACCTCTGAGAGGAACTGAACCCCAGACCACCTTATCAGGGCCTTGGCTCCCCAACTGCTCACCTCATACCACATACCTGGCCAGCACCGGGCTCTTGCGCTGGTAGTCAAAAAGACCAAAGCCATGACTGGTACCAAAGGCCACAAGGCTCCACTCGGCATGAAGGGTGACAGCGGTGACAGCAGCTGGTGGCAGGCACTGCACCAGCATTCGGGGCTGGAATCCCGCAGGCCAAGTCAACAGCCCTGTGTGTGGGCTCAGCCGCTCATGGCCCTTCCATGTGAAGCCCTCACGATCCTGAAGGAGATCCACACTGGCCACGCTGACAGCCTGCTCGGCTGGCACGTCACTGAGCTCCAGCACAAGCACCTGGGACACAACAGGCAGAGGACTCAGATGAAGAGGGGCATTCTGGACCCGCTCCAGACACTGCCAGAGCAAGTACCCTTTACCTACCCAGCCAGTACCCTCTGAATACCTACTATATGCAAAAGCTTTCACTGAGCGCCAAGAAACCGTGGCGACCTAATCTACTGGCCCTGCCCTCCTGGAGCCCTTGACTCTCTCCTGCGTCTGTCTCCCCCAAGCCCCGAGCAAACACTAAGCCCTCCGCACACGGTCAAGCACTAAAGGGAATCTCTGCCTAAGCCCCTTGGGCTCTGCTGTTGCTGAGCACATCTCACACCCAGACTCCTGCTCCCAGCCTCGGGCCTCTGTGGCTTCCCTAGCCTTACTCAAGCGACAGCACCCCCCAGTTTCCACTTGTCCTCACCCCGGCCAACCTTACCTGGGGCTCCATTCCCACTCTGACCTACAGCCCATGCTGGTTTCTCTATTTCACACCCTTCAGGGCTACCTCCTACAGAAAGCCTCCCCAAAGTCAAAGTCACAGCTGGGGACCCCAACCCCACCTGGCCTGCAGTGCCAGCCACCACCATCTGGGCTGTGTACTTGCAAAGTGCAACCTTCTGTATTCCCAGGCGGGGGTCATCACTGTAGGGGTCAAAACAGCCCACCTGAGGGGACAAGATGGAATGATGACACCAGGCAGAACCATATCGGGTTCAAAGGCCAAGCCTGGGGGGAGAGGGAGGAGAGGCACCTTGCGGAAGGGCGGCCAGTCGTCCTCCACAGCCTGGGCCAGGCTGTCAGCGTGTTCACAGTCCGTCTGGAAGAGGCCAGCGGTGCTCAGTTTGTAGAGTGGCCTTAGCGCCACACCAGAGGCGTCCCAGAAGCGCACAGTGCCATCCTCATGGCTGTAGAGAGGGTTGGTGTCAGAGCCCCCGCTGGGAGATCCACACCCCCTCAATTATTCTTCCAGCGGCTACCGCAGGCATTTCCTGCCTATGCCGAGCACTAACTGGAAGGTACTGCGTACAGCAGCAAGCACCTGCTCCACGGTATAAACGGGTACTTAGTGCCCACTGCACGACAGGTACACTCTCCACAGGCCCCGAGCCCTCTGAACAGGATGGAGGGTACAGGAATGACCACCTGGATAACCAGGAGATGACAGAGGGGAGCACTGGGTTCCCTGAGATCACAAAACGTGCCACAAACCCAGAAGAGCAAGAGGCCTGAGGGGCCCTTCCAGGTGACGCAGCAGGAGGCTGGGTGTCAAAAGGGGGGGGAGGGGAGCAGGGAGGGAGGGAGCAGACAAAACCAGAGTACAACCTTGGGACACAGCTGGGGACCAGGGGCCCCAGACAGCGAGCCGCCCGGACAGCGGAGAAGGAGCTAGAGAGTGGCGGTGCTTCACTCTCCTTCATCCCTGAGGCCACAGCAGGCTCTCAACAGCAAAGGGAAGGAGCCCTGAGAGGCCTGAGGGTCCCAACCCAGGCAGGAGCGAGGGGCAGGGCACTTGGTGAGGCCTGAGTCACCAGTGCCCAGACCTAGCCTGGCTCTCCAGCACCTGACTGGAGGAGTCACCATAGGCCAACCCAGATTTTCCAGTCCATGGCAAGCCAGGTGGGTGGAGCCCGGGCTGTGCTGGAACTCAGTCCCAGGCCAAGAGGAAGTGCGAACCAAGGCTCTGAGCCAGAATCTAGGGAGGCTTCCTTACAGGAACAACCTGGATTTGCTAGGACTAGGCCTGAGTCACCAAGCACTTCAGCACCCAAGGAACCTGAGACATTCAAGAAGCAAACAAGGCCTCACAGGTGCAGCAGGCCCTTGTCTGCACCCACACCCCAGACCTACCCGGTCAGCAGCAGCCCATGCTGCAAGGGTTCCTGGGCCAAGTTCCGGCCCCCAGTAATGGGCCAACTCTAAGGAAGACAGCAAAGGGAGCTCCAAGTTAAGACGAAGGTCTCCGTCTCCTCCCCCTACCACATTCCCATCCCGCGTCCGGGCTGGACCCCGCCCTCCACCCTAGCACCCGAGTCCCAAGACATCGCCAACTCACCAAGGCACTGGAGGCAGGCTGTGGGCTCTGCCGCTCACCGGCACTTACAATGCGGGCCCACAGCTTGCTGGGGACGTTGGCAACATGGGCAGAGCAGGTGATAGCGGATGAATGCAGTGGGGCCAGGTAAGGGGCAGGCACAGCTGGCCAGCCTGGCGTCTGCAGGTCCAGCACCACCAGCTCCTCCTCCAGAAGCACAGCTAGGGCCTGAGGGTCGTCGAATTCTGTGGGATGGGGAGAGTGAGCTTAGCTTGGAGCCACACTGGGCCAGCAGGGATGAGGGAGGCGGAGTACGCACCATCCCCTGGCTGCGTGCTGTGCACTGTGAAGAAGTCAATGACACGGGAGGTGAAGTCCAGGGTCACCAACGTCTCCGCTCGCAGTACACTCACACAGTGACGGTCACCATAGCTGGCTCGGGGCATGCCACCACTGAAGATGATAAAGTGGTCTCTGCAAATGGAAAGACGCCATGAGAACCAGGAGCCCCTGGAGAAACCAGGCACATGCTGGATAACCCAGTAAGGGCTTTACCCCTATATACCCAGAGCCTAATCCTCTAGTCCCCAGCCAGACAAGCCCCCTCCCATACTGCCCCCTCTACCTACCCTGACTCACAGCTCCGCCACAGAATCTTGTTGATGGCCTTGCAGGGGAAGGGGCCTGGGGGTGGGGAGAGCGTCAGACCTCCCATTCCTCTTCCATGTGCCTCTCCCCAAGGTGTGGCCCAGACCCAGCAATACCCCCGTCTCCTGTAGATTGGCTAGGCAGTACCCTCATCAAGGCCAGAGAGCCCCTCAGTCCCCACCCTCGGCTCAAGCCTCCCCGGTGCTCACCATAGGGTGTGGTCACTACAGTGGGCTGCAGCGCTGGGGGGCTGCCAGTGTCTGTGGACCAGATGGCATAGCTGCCATCGCTGTGTGAGCTGATAACGGTGCTGCCACCACGGCCCCAACACAGGCTCTCCAGCTGCTACGGATGAGGACAGGACGGCGTGAGCCGACAGGACAGGACAAGGGCCCGGGATGAGGAGCGTGCAGGCTTCCCTTGCTTACCTGGTTACCCAGGAAAATGTGGTCCACACACCGTGTGGCCTGGCTCCAGATGACCAATAAGCCCCGACTGTAGCCTATGAGGATTTTGGTGGGGTCTTGCAGATGTCCCTGGAGTGACTCCACAGGGCCCAGGGCCTTCCCACACCGGTAGTCATCTGGCACACTGCAGAGAGTGCCCCAGAGAGTCAGGAGAACTTCCCAGAAACGGGAGGTTCCTCCTGCCTGCTGCTCACCTGCTGCTCACCTGCGCAGAACCTCATCTGGGCTGATAGTCTGCCCCTCAAGCAGGGTCAGAGTGGCGACATCCAGGAAAAAAACGCTGCCACTCTCAGTCCCCAGGGCCGCTGTGTGGCCAGCTACCAGCAGGACCACGGTGACACGGGTAAGGCTGGCAGGGGCACTGCAGGGAAGAGGGACAGAGTGAGGCCGAGCCCAGCGACTGCTGGGAAAGGCGGAACGGGCTGGGCGCTTGCTGGGGCCTCTCTTGTGCCCCTCTGCACTCACAGGGCCTGTTCACAGCACAGGCTGGCACCCTGGGAAGGCAATGTGCAGTGTAATTAGCCCACTCAATTATTCCCCAGCATGCCAGCAAAGGAAGGGATAAAAATAAGATCCCTGGGTCTCAAAGGACTCTCAGGTCCACTTGTCACTCTGCCTCTATCAGGTAGAATCAGAGCACTACCCCAGTCAGGGTACCCAACGCCAGCCTTCCAAGCATCTCAGACTTCAGGAGCCCAACAGTCCCTGCCTATAGTGACTGGGACGGCCCAGGAACTAACCTGTGGGCAAGGTCCTCTACCCGGGAAGCCTGACCTGATGTGGACACCTAGAGCATCCTCCTAGCGCCTCACCAGCTCATCCTGGAGAACGCCCCAATGATCAACCTTCGGTGTGCCAATGGACCAGGAGCCTATCTCCCATCCCAACTCAAGAAGCCAGGAAGAAGGCCAGGCATGCTGGCACACACCTGTAATACCACACTTGGGAGACCGAGGCTGGAGGACCACTGAAAATTCAGGGCTAGCCTGAGACTGCTGATGTCACCTTGGCACAGATCTGTCCCAAACCCCTAGAGAGCACAGTGCCAGGCTGCAACTCTAAGGAGTTGGGTTATAACATATTTATTCACTGGGACCCCCAAACTAAAGGTTCACACAGCAGGAAGCACAGATCCTGCCTACTGGCCTCAGACTCAGCTAGCCATACCTCTAAGCCTAACTTCAAAGGACATGACTGCCAACCAAGCAAGGCTCTACCCAGGCAGGGCTCCACACACCCCACCCTGAACCATAACCTGACTGTCTCTGCCCTACCTCGGCAGAGCAGGCTCACAGGACCTCTCCAATACCCCTGCCCAGTGGCTAGCCCCAGCCTGGTCCTCCAGTACCTGGCGTTGTCAAAACTGGGCCGGCTGGGTGGCTGGAAGCTAAGCCCTTCCTCTAGGTGGGCACAGCCATTATGATGGATGATCTCCCACAGATGCAGGCTGCTGTCATCTAGCAGGGTCAGGAGGCGGCCCTGATGGAGGGGGGAACAGAGAACAAAATGGGGCTGGCCTGGAGAGGAGGAGGGCACGGGGATGGGGGCCACCTGGTGCTGGTGGAGGAAGGCAGATGTTCACCTGACCAGGCAGGAAATGCATCTGGGTGACGGTGGCTGCATCGCGGTGCAGACCTGTAAACTCCACTCCAGGTGCACCGTAGCTGAGATGCCTCGTCAAGGACAGACACATGCAGGCCAAGCCAGGACAGTTCAGACAGGCCTTTCCCAAGACCTCCGCATCCACGAGTCCAGCGGTCTCCTGATGAGGCCCCTTCCTGAAGTAACTCTGCTCCTGCACCCTCAAGTTACCCACAGACTCCACACAGTCCCCGCAAGTAGGGTGCTACTGTAGCCCTCATCCAGCCAGCAGGCTAATGACTCAAATGCACAAAGCTAGTGCAGATGGAGTAAGAATAAAAACCTGCTCAGCACCGTGGCTCCAGCATGGTACAAATGAGGCCTCTGACGCATCTGCACAGACCAAGTGCCTTGCAGTAGAGGTTCAAGAGGCCTAGCCAGGACACAGCAGCACCAGATCAAGCCAACTCCAGCTGTGGACAAGAGCCCCAAGCTCCCTCCAGAGCAGGCAGCCAAAGGCTTCCACTGCCCACTTTACAGATAAACACAGACTGGAAGACAGGTGACCTGCTTGAACAAGTGCCCCGAGACCCACAACTCCAGGATTGGTGGTGGCCAACAAAGCCTGAAGGGGCCCAGGAGGGCTAAGAGATGGGTCAGTGACGTTGTCCTAGTGACAAGCCAGGAGCTGTTGCCTGGATATCGAGCTGGGACTCCCTGCAGAGCCTGGCAAGGAGGACAAAGAGAGGGCAGGAGCGGCTGGCGGGAAGCAGGGTCTCCCAGGAGATGGGGCCTGCCCTGCAGGGGGAGGGGAGCCTTCGGAGACCAAGCGTGGCACCTTCCAGCCTCAGTTTCCCAACCTCAGGAGCTCAAGGCTGTGGGAATTTAAAGGAAAGAGGGAGGAGAAGGGGGGATCTAGGCTTTGGCCCCCGTCATCTGTACCAGCTCGAGGAACCAGTTCCCACCAGGACAGCTCCAAGCACCTGGCAGTGAAGACTGTGGACGACTCAGAGGTGGGCACCTCCAACACCAGTGGTCACAGTCCAAAGCTGCAGCCACACAAGAGTAGCGGGGACACAGCACCCACAGGGGCTTGGAGTGGCAAGCTGGGTGGAGGCCTGGTCACTGCCCCAACACACACCCAATGGCCCCCAATAGAGAGGAGGACATCCCCATCCAGCCACATTCCCTAACCCAGGCTATTGGCTCAGAAACCTTGGGCCATATTCCCACCCCAACCTGGCTAGTGCCCCTAAGCTCTGGGTAAGGAGAGGGAGGGCAGGCACCTTCACCAAGCAACTTTTTAAGTCAGACTCCGCACCTCAGTGTCCTTGAAGGCAGGTTAGGGTGGTATTTCCAGGGTGGGTAAGGAGACATTCAGCAGCCTGTTGCCCCACCCCCACCCTGGACTGCAAGAAAATGCCTGCTTTGTACAGCTTACTCAGTCCATTGTATGGCAGCAGGGTCCAGATGGGGGCAGTGTTGCGCTCACCACGCTGAGCCTGGCACTGCCTTCACCCTCTGGGTTGAGCACATACATCTCCATATTTGTGTGTAACTGTGTATGTGTGCACATGCTCACTTCTCATCAGGCCCACAGGCCACCCCTAACTACCTCGGTCACGGTCTGCCAAGATGATGGTAGAGTCACCTAAGACAGCAAGGGACACCGGTGGACACCAGTGACCACTCCAATCAACCATCTCCAAACAGAAAGACTCTCATTTCTGAAAGGAGTCACCACAGGCCCAGCCAACCTCTTCAGGTTGTCTCCAGGAAGCGCCTGCCATGCCAGGACCCCAGCATAAAGTGGGTGGCACATGAGAGGTCCTCACAATCCCCAAGCACCACAGTGGCAAAGGATACATTTTGACAGCCCCAGACCTGGTGCCGATGGCCATGATGCGAAGCTCGGGGTCGAAGGCCAAGGCGCTGGGCTGGTTGGGGAAGCCATGCTCCACGGTCTGTGAGGGAGGAGAGGGATACATGGGCAAAACACCCTGGGACTTCCGCTTCCACTTGGTCCCGAAGGGACTGTCCACCTCCCAACATGGAGAGCGCCAGAGAACAAGAATCCCAGGGCCATCAGAAGTAGGGATAGCGTCTGGGGTCCCGAGCACTGTTGGTGTTGATGCTGATGCTCCCTACCTGCTTCTCTGCTCTTTGTGAGGCCAGGTCCAGTGCCCTTCCCTACACACTAAGCTTCACTACCTATTCCTTCCTTTGATATGCTTCCTCCCACCGGCCCACCAACCAAGCAGCTTCCACTCATGCCCAAGTGTGGCTGGGGCATGAACACCCTCAGGAGATGTCAAATACGGCCTGGGAGCACACGGCTATAATCTCAGCATTTGGAAAGCTGAGCCAGGAAGATCCTGAGCTAGAAGACAGCATGGGCCACACAGTGAGATGCAAAAGTAAACACGTAAATAAAAGAGGTCATCCACATGGGGTCAGCCATCTTCATAGCTGTGTGGCGGGGCCTAACTACGCAGTCTGGGCTGAACACAGTACTCCATCCACCCTGCTTCCACTTGGCAGTGACGGTGGAGCCCATCCAAGAGAGCAGGGCCACCAACCAGCCCTGTTGGTCAGGGAATTCCCTTCCCCACAAGCACTGCCATGCCGTCTGGATCTGACCTCCTTTAGCTGGCCTCAGGCTTGCAGGCTAGTATCCAGAGACACTAGAGCATGGCAGTATGGCAAGTCCCCACGGTCCCGAGTAGACACCATCAGGCTCATCTTATGGAAGAGAGACTAGATCTCTTATCTAGTGTCTGTCCTTTGCACCTCACATCCGATCAGTTCCGGAGCTCTACTGTCTTACCTCTAAGACACAAAGAAGTCATCCTTCTCACACCTGGCTCCAGGCCTACTCACTGCTTGCCTGGACCGGTGCTTACTAAGCCACCTATGAAAACCAGCCAGCCATCACGACCTCCTCCACTTGGGGCCCTCCAGGAGTTCCCTGCTGATCCACAGCCAAAGAAAGCCAAGTCCTCACCATGTGGCCCCTCTCTGGGCATCTCAGTTCAGCTGACTCCTACCCCAAAGCTCTTTGCTCTCTTGCTAGGCAGCACTTCCTAGGGCTTTGGCGCCTTCTGCCCCTCCCCCGCCACACTGTGCTTTACCCGGCACTCCCAAATGGCCAGCTCCAAAAGGCCTCCCTGGCTGGTCCTGCCTACATCATCATCCCAGACCACTTTCCCATACCCTCATCACACCATATTTTATCCACAGCATTAGCCAACCCTGTGAACTAATATGTATTTTACTTTTGCTTTGGCTTTTGGTTCTCATCCTCTTGCCAATGACTAAAGCCCCCCTTCAACGAAGAGTTACCCCTTTGGATTCCACTGTGCCCATAGCACCAAAGAGGCAGGAATCCAAATTAAACTAGCATGAGATGCACATCCTACAGGCAACTTGTGGTCTGAGCTGGACTTGAACCCAACACCCAGGATAAAAGTCCATGTCCCCCCTTGGACCACAACCCCAAACTCAAGAATCTGGGGCCTATTTCCTAGGGACCTCCTTACAGCCCCTGTGGCAATCAAATCCTTTGCCCAAGATGACTTCTCTCCTCCCGTCACTGCTGCCCACTCAAATTGTGCCTCACCCTCAACTCCTGCCACGGTAGCGCCAGCCAGGGTGAGCCAAGCTGATTCAGAGCCTCACCCCAACTGTGCAGGTCCCCTACACACCTCCATTCACTGGCTAAGACCCATCCTTCTTCCTGCTTCGGGGGGCTCACCCTCATGGTCACACCAGGAAAGGCAAAGGCTCACAGCTGGGGGAACCTCTCCTCTCAGGTCTGACAGGCTTTCAGTCACTGGGTCTGTGAATCCCGGCAATCCCATCATTGCTGCCTGGGACCTCCACAGGAAAAACTGAGCCATGGCAGGAACTCCCCTGAAACCTATGTAAGGGAAGTCCAAGGTCCCTAAGCTCTCTCTGCTCAGGACGGTAGTCGCTACTTCCAAACTCCAGGCTCCTACTCCATTGTGATCACACAGCGAGGCAAGAAAGATAAGCGGCCCACTCCTTACTGAACCTCAATTTTTTTCACGTGTGTAAAGGAAATGAGAAATCGAATCCTCAATGGCAGGGGTACGCACGAGCTCTGCGATAAAAGTAACATCCAACCCGAGCCCCATCACTCCAGATCAGAGTTCATCTTGCACGGCTCCATACTGGTCAGTGCCGGGGAGGTGGGGACTGCGGCCTTTCCCGGGGCCCCTTCTGTCTCACGTCTTTCCAACTTTAGTAAGGTCAGGCCCGCCCGGTTGCAGAGAGATCCAGAATCCACAAAGAGGAAACTGGCCTCGTTTCATGGCGGGGGAAACTGAGGAACCACGGTTTGAAATGCAACTGGGCACACAGACCAGCACAGCCCCTGGACTAAGGACCCCAAGGCAGGGTCCAGCGTGGGGAGAGGGGTGGAGGCTCCGCACTGGGATTTCCCAGCCCCACCCCCCACTTCTCCTACTCTCGCCCGCCCAGGAGTTCAAGAAAAACAAAACCTGGCCCTGGGTGCCCCTCGGCCGAGCCGGGCCACACACCAAAAGATGAAAGAACAGAGGCCAAGAGTAAAAGGCAGATAGGTGGGGGACCCCACTGAGCCCAAGGGACACCCGGGAGAGACACCAGGGGTCCAGAGACCCAGGGGCAGAGAAACAAGAGGAGCCAGAAAGAACACGGCGCGGCGCGGGGCACAGCTCGAGACCCCGGCCAGGCACGCCCGAGCATCGCGGCGCTCACAGGGCAGAGGCGGCCCGACGTGGCCCGCCCGG